GTTTACACTTCATTGGTACTAGACTGTAAGCTGGAGGAAGTAGCAGTGAAAGCGGCTCCCTTTTTGGGTTTCTAATTAGCACCAAGTAGTTCCAGATACCTTTGACAATAAGCTGCAGCTGTATGGCCATTATAGCAACAGAGTTTTGAGAGGTATGACTGGGTTGCAGAGTTTTGAGAGCTCATCAAGTCTAGTTGTATAAGAGATCACAAAAGTATCATATTCTGGTGGAAGTCCACTGAGCGAATAATGAATCAAATCTGAATCTGAAACAAGATACTTCGATACTGCAAGTGCATCCGCAATACTCTTCACCTTCTGTATGTAGCCTACTACTGAAAGCTCACCCTTCTTGATTTCTGCTAGTTTCACTTTCAGATCATGATCATGGATTTTGGATTTATTTGATGAAGAGAACAGCTGGTTGAGCTTGTCCTACACCTCCTTAGACGTCTTGCACCCAACTACGCACCTGTTTAAATTAAGACATGCTCGATCAGCTAATGAAGGTAGTTGGGTGCACTATCGAGTTTTCTCATCCCTACAGAGAAGCCAACAGAATTGTTGATGTTCTTGCAAATTAATGAAGGTATTGATAATGGTTGATTTTGAAGTTTATAATTCTATCACCGAATAATGAGAGATCAATATGGTCTTTCTACTCCTAGAATCAGATTTTGTAGTGATTAATGTTGTAATATTTGGCCACCCCTTCACCTTTAATAAAGTATAGAAGCCCAACTTTATAGGAAATGCCTCTTCTAATATTTGTGGGGATCAACTCTGTATTTTCTCCTTTTCTAGCTTAGACCAATTATGGGTTTGGCTTCCTCTATCCCAGTTTATTTGAGGGATTTACTAGGACCCAAACTTTGCCAAGCCATCATGGACCATTATAGGTCAAGCCCAATTATCTGATGATGTAAAGCCCAGCCCAAGTTTCACATCTAACTTTTTTCACACACTCACATATTAAAGTAAATCCCTCAAATTATAGACCTCCCTCCAGCAACGAGTGGCAAAACAACATCCAAAATGATTACTCTCACTTTCAAACAAAAGCTTCCTTCATCAAGAAATGTGTCTAACCACTCAAACAAAGTATGAGCATCAAATGAAAATTCAAGAGAAATGGTTTATATGTCAAGTATCCAAATTTCTATACAAATTGATCATCATGATCCAAACCATGTTAATAGCAGTGTTGTCAGACATGGATTGAAGCAGTGATTTCTCAAGCTTTACAGGTCCTGCTTATTTGATGATTCTTATGAGTCGAACAATTTAAATGGCTGATTAACGCTGAAATTCGAGGTGCTCAAGAAAATCTATAAAACTAAAAATCCAATTCGAAATTGACAATTCTAACTGAAAACTCATGATTAATCGAACCGATTGATATATTTATAACATATATTTTTTCATGAAGTATATTTTACAAATATATAAATTTCAAAATTACAGACACTAAAATGACAATGAAGTTGTTTAAAAGGTCAGCCAAGCACCCCTAGCCTATTTGTCCAACTGAATTCTCCCAATTAGTGTTATATGTATTATTTAATAAGTTGAATATTGTGATGTTTTTTGACAATATTGTGATGTTTTTTGACAATATTGTGGATGATGTTAAAAGTTAAATTGTTTGGTTGGTTTTCGGGTGATGGTTGAGCTCGCCAAGGATGCTACGTGCCAACCTCCATGGCAGTCCTCTCTCTCAAGCCATGTTGACACCAAGTGTGACGGAAGAGCACAATTAAGAAGGAGTGTCTTGCACTGACGAGGGAGCGGATTCCACTAGGGAAGAGGAAACCTCCCGAAGACCTCGACAGTCCATCTGGAAGGCGGACACCCAACTATAAATACGTACTCCCTGCTCGAGGTAAGAGACTTTTGGAAGAATGCTCTTTAAATATATCTTTGAACTATCTCTTTGGCTTGAGCCAGCGTTATTTCAACCTACTCGGCCCGACCACCTCTCTTTCTACCCAACTAACTTGATCCTCAGAATACCTACCTAGGGAATAATTCCTCGGGCCTCTAACCTTTCTCCTGGTTGTAGATATCAATGTGCGATTTCGTCCTTCTACCTCGACCTCGTCCAATTGGCAGGATTATCATCCTCAATTCAGAGCACATCGGATCGGAAAACATCACTTGGTTTATCAAAATCTGGTGTATTGAAGATTGATGTGTTTTTATAATAATTATTAGTTGTTCAGTTTATTCGGTTGTATTTACACAAATATCTCTGTTTTGTTATTGATGAAATGTTGTTTCTTTTTGTAATTGAGGGAAAGAAGAAAATTTTGTTGTTTCTTTTTGTATTTGCATTCCGAGAAAACTTTAGCTGTTGGGGGAAAACAACATGTGCTGTTGAGAACGTTTTTGGGCTGAGCACATTAATCCATTCATGCCCATGTCTAACTTTTTGGTCAAAAGAAACTAGGGGATAATTATTATTTTACCCCACTCTCATGGTAACGTGGCATTCCCAAGAACGTTTTCAACAGCATAGGCCGTTACAGCCAAATGAATCCATTAATTGATTTATTTGGTTTGGATTTGAAATTTTTCAGAATCAAAAGTTTCAGTTCAATTAGGAAAATGTGCTTGTGATTCGATTACCTCTATCTAAAACCGTGACCAAGAAAGCTTTGAAGTTTTTGGTGTGGTTCGAGTCTAACTTCATTAGCCAGAAGAGCACAATTAACCAAGAGGGAATCTCTTAACCTACTACTCCCAAGTATTAAGAAATGGACTCAAAGTTCTCCCCTACTATTTGCAAAATTTCTTTAAGCATCCCTAAGCTTTTTTTTGACAATTGACATTATCTGACAAAAAGAATGAAATATCTATTTTACTCTTCAGTCTTCTTTAGATTTTCAAAATGATATTTATAACCTACAACAAACAGAAAACGAAGATCGACAGAATTCAAGTTTACCCTCTCTATTTTACCCTTCATTGTTTTTCCAATTTTCAAAACACCACACATTTTTTCTTCAACCGGTGCATGTCAGAGCAACTGGTGCTATTTTCTCTTCCGTTGGTTTGCAATTCGAAGATCAATGAATGGATTCATGTGCAAAGATCTGCTACAAGTGTCATACACTCTATGAAGTTCAAGTACCCTGTATTCACACACTGAATTCAATATCAAAAACCTATCAATCTATCTATGCTATATTGTTATTGCCCAAAAAACAAAATTCTTCCTTTTTTCACATTGCTGTGGAATGGAATAGAAGAAACCAGTTGTATATCACTATGAACTAAGTACTTGTCTTATATCTACATTATTCTGTATTCTTCACCTTTCATTTGAGAACGTTTACAGAGATGTTGACACACGCGATGATTTAGGATAATGTTTATCATAACTTACCGCCTCCTCTTATCTTACTTCAACCAGTTATTCTGATGCTGATTGGGCCAGTTGCCCCAACGTCAGATGCTCCACTGGGTATTCTATTTATCTTGGCTCCAATCTTATCGCCTAGAGTTCAAAAAGTAGGATACTATTGCACGCTTGCGTTTTGAGCTCTAGCCAATTATGTTATGGAAATCCTTTGGATTCAGTCTCTTCTTACTTGGTTTTGACTCCGGTTGCTTGGTGTGACAAAATTGATGCCACTTACTTGGCTGCATACCTCATCTTTCATGCTTGCACAAATCATCTGAACATTACTAATGAATAATGTTCAAGTTTCTCACAGAGAGACAAGAGTCTACAAATTTGTGGGCTTGATGTGAAAAAAGAATTTATTTTTTCTCTAATGGAAAAAATGAATAATTTAATGTATAAATGTATAATTATCAAGATTTTATTAAATAAAGGTCATTATCCAATTATCGATTGATGGTCCAGGCTATTTTATCAAGTCTTTGGAGGGGTGGGTGACTAGATGGGATTAAGGCTGCAATTTGGGTGGGCCCAACTCGAGCACAGATCGATCCAACCAGCAATTTTAGATTGGTTGGGCTAAATTTTTGGTCCTTGGGTTGGGCCTAGGCCCAAATGTTCAGGATTTTAAATTTTTGGTCTGTACTCAAGCCTAGCCCTTAAGAAGAAGCCCAAGCCTGACCCAACCCAATTATATATAGACATATATTTATATGCATATATACATATTTTTTAATAAGTTATACATATATACATACATCCATATATATACAAACACATGTATATCAAATTTTAGTGTGGTGGGCTAATTGATTAATTAAACCCAATCCAAATACATCAAATTTTGGTGCGAGCTAGAGCTAAGTTTGAATTGAATAATTCAGGCTTAACCTCGTGTTCGAACTTAGATTGAGCTAAAACTAGGCTCAACCTGCCCGACGTGCACCCCTAAATGGGATACTTTAGGCATTTTATGCACGTAGTTACAATTCACACTCACTTGTCAACCCAAGATTTTATCATCTCACCAAGCAATGCTGCTGAGGTCCTAATTGCCAAACAATGACTATGGGATATCGCAACATGTCCCAACTCGAAGTGTAATCTAGTAAATTTGCACCACCTTGGAGGGCAATTCAATAACTTCGCCAAAGCATATGGAATTGCGATGGTATCATTGACGCCCATTCACTTAATGCGACTGCGAGCTAACAGTCGACCATGTGGGCATGACATGACCATTACCAACGGAGGAACTGGACCTGACCTATAAGCGAATATCCAACCATGAATAAACACGTACACGCCTTGTTTGTCCATTTGTCATATGTTTCCATCACGCTCCAATTTCTCCCATGCATTTACGTGTGAAATAATTTGCCACATGTAAGACATCTAAATCACTTGATATCTTTTATTTCAATATCATTGTCAAGGGACCCACCGTTCAAACTCGTAGATCTCAAAGAAGATAGCTTTATCCACAAATCTCCACGTGGCAAAGTTTCATTGATCTTCTCGCTCGGACAATCCATCCAATTCCTTTCACTCTATCCACCCACAACATAAATCTCCAATTCACCATCACAAAGACAAACCCGAAGTCCCCCCGAAGAAATCCCTCCACCCTCTGGTTCAGTCCATTGAGAGCCCTTGACCCGACCCGACCGAGCAAAGGCGCATGGCAGCAGCAACCATGGCGACCGCCACAGCCACCGTCACCGGCCTGGGCTCCTCCACCCTCTCTCCCTCTCGCATCACTTCCCCGAAGAGAACAAGCCTCCGCTCAGGTATCCTCCTCTTAAAGCGCACCGTTTGTTTCCTTTGGAACCTGGGTTCCATCTGTAATGCACTAGAGGTTCTCCCCTGGTCTCTGACGTTCTCTCTCTTGTTCCTTCCTGCAGACTTCGTCAGATCTCCGGTTGCCACCAGAAACCCATTGAAGCAAACTCTCTCCTCAGGTGGAAGGTTTACATGGTAACTGTGAACGTTCAAATGAACTGAGCTGAACTCTAGTTAATCACTGTTATTGTAATGGGGCTTTAGTAATAATTTCTTCTTATGATTCGATTGTGTAAGCTTTGAGAGAGATTGGCTGCGGAGGGATTTCAACGTGATCGGGTTCGGGTTGATCGGGTGGATCGCGCCTTCGAGCGTTCCGTTGATCAACGGTAAAAGCTTGACAGGGCTATTCTTTGAGAGCATCGGCACTGAACTCGCTCATTGGCCTACTGGTCCTGCTCTCAATTCTCAGTTCTGGTGAGTACTACTTTTTAAATTCTGAAAACTCGGTTCAGATTCGGACGTTTACTTAACCCGCTCGGGATCATGAGTCATGACTCGAGATGACGAGTCACTTGAATTCCCAATTTAAGTCACTAGAATGGGATTAATCAGGAAAAAGAATCCTTGTGGTGTAATTTACAGGAAGTAATCAAGGGTTGAGATCATCGAACAGTGTTGATTTTTGGCCTAGATGATCTCTTAGATGGACCCATAACCATAAGGGACCCATTTAATCGGTGGTCCCAATTGATTACTAATATTGAGTCATTAATCTAGGGCAGGAAAATTGATTTCACTCAGTTCCATGTGGTGATGGATTTGTAATTTGGGTAATGCATTGTAGGCTGTGGCTGATTACATGGCACCTGGGGCTCTTCCTTTGCCTGACATTTGGGCAGATTGGTTTCAAGGGAAGGACCGAAAACTATTTCTGAAATTTCTCCCTGCTTGTAACTGGAATTTCCCAATGATATCTCTTCTCTCTTCTGTGTATTTATTATATTCAAATTAATAGTTTATAGATTGTTGAACTCACATTTTTTCCAAAACATCAAGGAAGATTGAGAACCCAGTGAGGATTTGAGACTGAATGTAAGCCATATTTGTGAGGAAATCCTTGAAATGGAAGACGAAAACACTGTAAATGTGTTTACATGCAAATAATTATTTGATGCTGCTGGATTTGAAATTCCTCGAAATTAATATTGCCACAGGGTCGCTTCCCAGGAGGCAGGAATGGGGACTATAATGATTAAGCGTGTGTTTGTAATCATGGGCATTTATTGAATAAATGCTGTTATGCAGGTATCACTTCAGCATTTTCGATTATGCAGATCCGTATGCATAGAGACTTGCAAAATGAGGTCTTGATTTATGTGTGCCCCTACCGTTGGGGAAGCTTCATTTTAGCACTTCCCCCAATGGGTATTCATTGTTTTGTTGATGTGGTGCCTAATGATGCTTAGTGGCGCTTAAGTGTCAATAAACAAGTTCATTATTGTTTTCTTCGTTTTTACAAACAAATCAAATACAAATGTGTAGTAAATAAACGTCCACGATTCCAAACACATATTTAGTAAGGAATTAGTGACGAGGATGAGCTGAAGAACTCACTAAGTAGAAGTGCAAGGTGAGCCGAGGAAATCTAGTAGAGAGTATGAGGTGTTTAGAGAGTTAGAATTGGGATATGGTCCTCACAAAGCGCACCTCACAGCCCCATCCTACCATGTATTGGGAACATCTTCCCATGAATAACACAAAGGACAAAAGATGTTCCCAATGCATGGTGGGATGAGACTATGAGGTCCATGTGAAGTATGCTCTATGAGGAGCATATCGAGTCTCTTAACTTTGGGAAATTATCTAAAATTCACCATTACTTTTTGACTTTTCATATTTCTCTAAACGTTCAAAAACCCCATGTCAGTAATTTAACGTTAAACAGATTTAACAATGTTAGTAGATTACCATTTTACCCTTTTTATATATAATCCATGTCAGACTTGTTAGTAATATCATCGTCTTCATCGGGGAGGAAGAGAAAAATGACGACTTACTGTTCAGCCACCGGTGCTGAAGAAAATGGTTCTCTCGGTACAAGGCCTATGCCAAGGTCGGTCTCCTCGAAAATCCTAGCATGTCTACTACGGCCGGACTATCTGACAATTTCTGGGCTTGATTGGAGCCGTCTGAACATCTCGTCGCCTGTGATCTGTCCTCACCCTATTCATGATCCCGTTCGGTTCAATTCAATTACTCGTATGGTACTATGGAGGGGTGCGCTTGCTTATGGATGTTTGCAAAGTTTTTTACAATTATTGCAAGGATAAAAAGATTGATGTTAATGGTGGCAATTTTACGCTCTCATATGATACCAACATTTCTCGCCAGACAGGGCTTTCCAATTACAGTGGCATTGTTTGTCTTGCTTTAAGTTGCTTACTTGATTTCTACAAGGTCAAACACCTTCGTGGTTGTATACCCTCCGCCTGCGGCTCCGTCATTCTCTTCATCTTCGAAACCTCCTCCTCTCCTCTACCCCGTCATCTCTTCCTCTTCAAAACCCCGCCTCCTCCCTCTCCGTCAAGGAATTCACCTTGAGATTTGTTTCGATGGTAGAGAAGACGAGAAGGAGCACCATTAGAGCAATGACAAACACTCTACAACCAAAACCCTCCATATGAGACTCGGCAAAACGGCAAGGAAGAAGTCCGATGAAGAGACCTTTCCGACGAAGATTATGGTTTTCCGGCACTGTCCTGTGCGAGTCTACAGGGTCACAGAGAATGGCCAGCGCTACTCAACGAAGGCAGCTTCTGTGTTCTCTACAATTTTGAAATATTTTTATCAAATTTTGTTTTTAGTTGAAACCTAACTGAAATATATATTTTTGAATTTTGAATTTTTTATCATTCTTTGAAATTTCCACCTTTTTTGAAATTGGTATGATTTTCTGTAATTTCCACAAATATTGTTTTTAGATTTTTTTTTAGTTTTGAAATTGGTATGATTTTCTACAATTATTGTTTGTAGATTTTTTTTAGCTGAAACATAATTTTTGAATTAGTTTTTTTATCATTTTATATATATTTATGTTATTTCTGATTTTTTTGGTTGAAATATATATTTGTGAATTTTTATTTTTTGTACCTGTTTTCGGAAATTTGTGCTTTTTTAGTTGAAATAGATATTATTTTATTTTTTTATCATTTTATGCATTTTTCTGCAATTTTTTATTTTTGGCTAAAAATATATTTTAGATTTTTGTGCAATTTTTAATGTTTTTTACAGATTTTCTTTTATATTTTTATTTAATTATTTTATTTTTTTTCCAAATTTTTTCTGCAATTTCTGATGTTTTACACTAAATGTACAAGGCAGTTGGGTGCATAAGGGCATTTTAGTCATGAAAATATGTTTAATAAGTCTGAATTGTCATTTAGGGGCAGTTTGGTCACAAAAATTGTATTTATGCTGATATGGACAACTTATGTCAATGAACACTAACGGTGCTCTCACGGATTGAGTTTTGAAAAATAAAAGTTCATTGACATGGGATTTTTGGACGTTTTGAAAAGTTATAACAAGTTTAAGAGAAATAATGAAAAGCCATGATGAGTTTTAGACAATTTCCCTTGAACTTTTTATTAAAAAAGGATTAATTATTTATATACACCCTAACGTTTGAGGAAATTATTTATATAGATCCCCGTGGTTTCAAAAATAATTAGCAGCCTCTTACAAATAAAACATATTAAATAACAAAAGTGAATTTCTTAAATTTTCAAAACATGTCATTCATTTCTTATTCTTCTTTTTCCCTTGGTGTGCTCTCTAACTTTTGTAAAATCAATAAAAGATTTCCTCTCTTACCTTAGTATACCCCTTCTAAAAATTAATCAAAATTTTATCGTTCCCTAGTTCTTTCTCATCCTGTCATTTCTCTTATTCTTACTCAGTCACAAGGGACACACATGCAAGAAGAAGAAGAAAAGGAGAGAGAGAGAGAAGAGGAAGAAGGAGAGAGAGTAGGGATGGCAATTTCCCCATCCCTGTCAAGTATCTCTCTGACCCTATTGGGTCAAGGATGGAGATTACCTTGACAGTGGTGGGGGTGGGGATGAGGATTAATAGAGATCTAGGGATCCCTAATTACTTTGAAAGTTTCAATATTTCATTCCTGTTTGAGGATGACTTACAAAACTCTGATTTCTGCCCATAATGGGGGAAATAGGAGATAATTTAGATGATTAGATAAAATAGAATCACAAAAGGGTTAAAATATAAATAGGATAAAAAAACAAGGAAAGCAGAAAAGACATCATATGTACAAAAATCTAACTTCAAGCATACTCTTTCTTTTTTGTTTTTTTTTTTTTTTTTGAAATCTCATACCCTTCACAAAATTCAACTGAAATATAAGATTTTTTTTCATGTTATATGTAAATGGAATCGAGATTTAAATCATTGCCATTGCATACTTAAACTAGTTCAATGATAAGACATACATGGGCACAGAATTGTCACTATATAGAACTTTTAATTTGGACAAAAAGAACGTATAAAGAGCAATTTGGTCACTCACATTCTTGCAATAATTAAAACTCCAATTTGGGGAGGCACAATGATAGAGAAATAACTCACACTTACGGTTGACAGGAATTATCTCGTACAATGGATAACTAATCGATAATTTTGCGAAATAAAAGTAGATAAAAAATAGATGCAGAGACCAAAATTATTTGTGCTTCAACTTGATTCATCGTAATGAAGTTTTCTGAACATGGATTGCAAAACTAAAATTCAACAAAAGTTTATACGAGAAAATAGAAATAAAAAACAAGGCAACAAAAGGATTAAATCCAAAAAGTAGTTACAAGAAAAATGAAAAAGTTACAAAAGAAATTGAATAAAATACCGTTCAAAAGGTCCTTCTCGTACGCTAGGTATTTGGGAATTTAGTAACACTAGCAACAGTAACAGCAGGAGCCCTTCTTCATTCTTCCCGATCGCTATCGAAGTCCAAATCATTTTCTTCTTGGTCTTCGTCTTCGTAATCATTGCCACTACCATCTTCAGGTTCTTCCCAAGTGCCCCGTGGGGGCTTCAAATGAAGAAACCCCTTTCGACTAGAGGGCATAAATTCTTGATTTCGTGCTCAGACCCGTAGTAAGAGCTAAAACCCTAATCCTCTATGGATTCCAGTCCGTAAGGGTTTCATAGCTTCTACTGTTATTTAGGGTAGTACAGAGTGATGGAAACAAATGAGTGGAAGAAAATCCACACAACACCAGAAGTTGTCCCACAGCATTCGACCCTGAGAATGGCGAAAGAATGGTTGAAAATGGCAGGAGGAAACACTCGACCCTTAAACCCTGGACTTGAACAGGGGTTCGGCTTCAGTCGAAGCTGAATGCGTTCGAACGAACACCATTCGAACATTACGAGAATATTCGTGCGAGGATGGTAAACGGGCGTTTACCACGAACGCCGTTAGTCATCCCTCATTCCAAGTGATTTTGCGAAACCCTTTCGGTTCTCTTATTTCCCGCGTCTCTCCAGTCTCCACCCAAATCGACCCATCCCCCTGCTATCCTCTCCAAACGGCAAAGGCAAAAGGCATCACCGGCGGTGGAATCTTCTTCCGTCAACCGGCGATAGAGAGCAGGTAAATCTTCTTTCTTCTTTGCTTCTCTTAAACAGTCTTCTCCCATGAAAAGCTGAATATGTTCTGTTGATGGCAGTGATGTCCCGCCGGCGATGAACGGCTTCATCTTCCAGCCAGTAGGTTGCTGGTGGATCAGTTGCAGATGAAGCCGTTCGTCGCCGGCGGAATATCACTGCCATCAATAGAACGCATTAAGCTTTTCATGGGAGAAGACTGTTTAAGAGAAGCAAAGAAGAAGGAAGATTTACCTGTTCTTTGTCGCCGATCGACGGAAGAAGATTCGACCGCCTGTAATGCCTTTTGCCTTCATTTGGAGAGGATAGCAGAACATGAGGATGGGTGGGTAGATTTGGGTGGAGATCGGAGAGACGCGGGAAAGAAGAGAACGCCCATCTACCATCCTCGCACGAATATAGAATGCACACGCGCTTGTGAACGTGTGTCATTCTCTCATGTTCGAGCTGCATTCAGCTTTGACTGAAGCCGAACCCCTTGAAAATTTTGAATTATTGAAACCCTCGACCCAACACA